CCACCGGCCCCAAGAAGAGCAGTTGTGCGGCTTTGGACTTCGTATGTGTTGCTCGACGCTCCCCCACGTGTTGCCTGCGTGCAGTTGCTGCTGGTCCTTCTTCTTCCTCCTCCACGTCTGTTTGGCGGGCTTCTTGTAGGCCCAGGGGTCGCTGGGCATCGCGCTCGGACATGTGCGTTTTTTCTCGGCGAGAACTATCGAGGACTATCCAGGACCATCGAGCAAAAAAAACACACGAAACCGAAAAATGCACAGGGAATGGACGTCCGAGCGATGGCAAGGGTCGGCGCCTTGGAGCCTCATCTCAAAGCTCCTGGGGGCTATCCGGGGCCCTCTTGCGGAGTCTTGGGGGTACGTGTTGGGGGTCTTGGAGGCCTGTGGGGGAGGGCTCCTGGGGGCCCTCTCGAGGGTCTTCGTTGCCTTCTCAGGGGCCTCTTGCTTGGCATCGCTCGGACGTGTGCATTTTTTCTCGGCTGGGGCCATCGAGAAGCATCCTCGACCATCGGGTCAACAAAACACGCACGAAACCAACAAATGCACAGGGAAGGGACGTCTGAGCGATGGCGAGCTTGGGCCGACTCGACTGGAAACCCTTGGTGGGCCGCCTCCGGGCCCTCTCGGGGCCTCTTGTCTGTCTGGGGTGCCGCATTGGGTTTTCAGAACACCCAGCAGGCAAGAATGCGGAAACCATTCAAAGCCAACGTTGCCGCCTCTCGAGGCCCTCTTTCGAAGAAGCATCAATGCCATAAACATATTTCACATGATATTTGTTTTGCGCTCCGCGCGGATATCTTGGATCCGCGCTGGGCCCCCAACCACTTGGATCTGCGCTGGGGGTCCAGCGCAGATCGCGCGGAGCGCCAATGCCGTTTCTCTTCTAATCATGATTGTTGCCGCCTCTCGAGGCCCTCTGGGGGGTCCTCTTGGGGCTTTCTTCGGGCGCAGGGGATCTTGGGCCGCACCGAAGCCATCTCGTGGGTGTTCTTGAGGCCCCTCCTGCGCGTTGGAGCGCTTTCTCAAGCCATGCTTCAAGGTATCTTGGGCAACTTGGCGGCCACAGAGCGTCGATCTGGATGCTACAATGGCCCCGGAGGTGTTGACGAGCTCGTCCCCCACCCCCCCGCTGATGGGATTCTGGACCCAAGGGAAGGGGGAAAGAGGGGGAGGGGGACAGCCAATCATCTCATCCGTCTTTTCACCTCTAATTAGTAAGCAGTGGTCGGTGCACTCCCTGTCGGTGCGGTCCAGGGTTCGAGCAGCAGTGAGCAGCTTTGGCGGACCGCCAGATGTATCGCCAAACGTATGTTTTCGAATTTCTGGTGGTGTATGTCCGTTACTTTCCGATTGGGCTTTGTTGTGGTGAACGCCTGCGATAGGAGAAGAATTGGGGAAGTGAGGAAGGAAGCTGGAAGGGAGGTTAGAGGTAGCGTGGTCAGGGTGGAAGTCAAGCTACAGACGACTTGAGATGTTGTCCGTTCTGTCCTTACATGTCTCAGCACCCACCCTGAATGGCGTGCCTTTCTCTTCAGTGTGATGCAACGCAGTTGTGCATGTATGGCTGCGGCTCACCAGTTCACGAGGACGGGATGGCAGAAACAAGAGGAGGTAGATGGGGGAGGAGGAGAAGGAGGAGGTAGGGTGAGAGGGAGGGGAGGAGCAGAAGCAGAAAGGGATGACGGGGATGATCTGACGAGGTGCGAGGGTGGGGGAGAAGGAGGAGAGATGAGGAGGAGGAGGACGAGGAGGAGGAGGAGGACGAGGAGGAGGAGGAACAGGACGATGATGATGATGATGATGATGATGATGATGATGCTGATGCTGATGATGATGATGATGATGATGATGATGATGATGATGATGATGCTGATGCTGGTGATGATGATGATGATGATGATGATGATGATGCTGATCATGATGCCGATGCTGATGCTGATGATGATGATGATGATGAGGAGGAGGAGGAGGAGGAGGAGGAGGAGGAGGACCAGAGTACGCTCAATATGCAGAATTCGCTCCAACAATGCTGCAATACAACCTCCCACCCCAAGTCCCCTCGGCAGAAGTCCCCTGCAATACAAACCTTCCTTGTCACTACGAGAAGCAGCCCCTTTATCAGTGGTGAGGAAGGCTCAAGCGAAACGCATGGCCCGCCCTACCAGCAATTCGGGGGGTAAGACAGACCGCGTTGGATGTCTGCAAATGCAGCCCATACCCCCAAGGGAGGACCACCCCTTCGGCTTCGGCACCCCTTGTGAAAGATTGTCGATACTATGAGGGACAGCGAAGGAGGGAGCGAAGAAAGGGGAGACAGGGGATGATGGGGGAGTTTGAGGAAAAGGAGGAGGAGGAACAGGGGAGTTTGAGGAAAAGGAGGAGGAGGAACAGGAGGAGGAGGAGGAGGAGGAGGAGGAGGAGGAGGAGGAGGAGGAGGAGGGGGAGAAATCGGGGGAGGAGGAATGCGGGGAGTTGGGGATGGGCAGAAGCGGAGGCGGAGGAGGAGGAGGAGGAGGAGGAGGAGGAGGAGGAGGAGGAGGGAGAAGGGGCACCGTCAGGGGTTCTCTGCCCCTCGCAGGCCCGCGGGAGCCGCCAAGGCCCCCCCGTCGCCCACGGACACCCTCTGAGGCCCCAGGATGCCTCCAGAAGGCAGCGAACGTCCAAAGATTTCTCTCGCTTCGCGGGGTGCACTTCCAGAGCGCATGCAGTCCAGTCGTTGTGAGGCCTCCTGGGGAAGTATCGGGAGCCTCCTGGGTGCCTCTTGGGGGCATCTCCGGGGCCTCGTTATGTCTTCTTGGGGTCTCTTGGGGGCCTCTTGGGCAGTCTTGGGTCGCTCTTGCACTGCCTGGCCTCCCCGGAAGCCGTTTGGGGGGCCTTTCTGGGCCGCTTTGGGGCTCTCTTGGAGTCCTCTCGGGCCGTCTTGGGGGCCTCTTGGACCATCTTGGGGCCTGTTTGGGCCATATGCAGGCCCTCTGGGCCGTCTTGGGCCTCTCTTGGGAGCCTCGGGGGCCGTTTTGGGGTCATCTTGGAGGCCGTTTGGGCCGTCATGGGCTTCTGAGAGTCGAAAGGGCGAGAACATTCAAATCCTTGCAAACGTATGGAACATGAATGGCTTTGGCCTCTGAAGGCGCTCTTGGGGGTGCTCATGAGGTCATCTTGGGCCATCTTGGGAGTTTTTTGGGCCCTCTTGGGGCCATCTTGGACTGTCTTGGGGCCGTTTTGTCCCGTATTGAGGCCATCTTGAGCCGTCTCTACGCCCTCCTAGACCCCCAGGAGGCCACAGAGGCCCAAACCATAGATTTTCTTTAGATGTTTTTAGGTTTGGGAGTCCAGATGGGGTCCTCTTTTTGGATCGATGGAAGCGGTGTGGCCTCGGGTGGTGGCGGGTGGGAGTATGGGGTTACACTACATTGCAACGCGATGCAATCTGTAGCATTTGCGCAATACTTGCACACATTGGACACGTTGCATTAAGACGCTCTCTGAAAAACGCTGCCGCTCAGCACGTCACCTCCGGACGTAGATTCGCAAGGCTTGCGCTGCATCCGCCGACCCCTCTTGTTGGATGTCGTGTCTCAGGGTTCTCGTGGGGCTCCTCGCTGGCGTCCTGGGAATCCTGTAGGGCTTGCTTGCGGTGTCCTTGGTCGGGGGCGGAAAAGAGGGGGGTGATGACTAGGGGGGGGTGGATATCATGGCGGGGGCCATGATATCTCCCCAGATCCATTACGTCCCTGGCCCCCCCGCTGGGCCGCGCACATGCCGCCGGTCATGATTTGCGCCCCCCCCTCTTGGACGCCCCCCTCTTGGCCGCTCCCGACTTGGGTTTTGTTCACGATCTATCCCGTATCTAGTAATCGGATATTGCTTGGGGTAATCTTGGGGCATTGTTTAACCATCGAGGTGTGTGTGTGTGTGAGCTGTGAGGACAGTATATTGCAGATAGTTACTTTCTGCGCGTCGTCGGTGTAAAGTCGGCGCGGCCTCAATCAGTGGTGAAGCAAGCATATAGGACGGTCAGAGGTTGCATAAAAGGTCAGCTGGGCCCAAAGGGACAACGAACAGGATCATGCAGGGTTCTGGGGTGATGCCTATGAATGGCGCGTGGATGGAAGTTTTAAGATCTCGTATGCATCGCGTGGGCTTCTTTAGGACCTCTCAGGAGCGTCGATGCGCCTTTAGGGAAACTTTGCGGGGCCTCTTGGGACTTCCTGGGAGGTTGAGGGCCCAGGGCATCATCTTGAAGAAGGACATGTGAGATCTTGTTCCCTGTCCAGGACTCCATATGGGGCTCTCCTCAGGCCTCGTAGGGCTCTCTTGGAGGCGTATTGGGCTGTATTGGGGTCCCCTGCGGTCGTCTTGAGGCCTTCCAGGGGGTCTCTTGGGAGCGTCTGTGGGCGGTCTTTGCGGCCCCGTGGGCCGTAGTGGCGCGTTGGGATTCTGAGAAGGCGGAAACACGAAGAACGTGAAACAATTGAAGGAACATCAATACATGTTGCCTTTCGGGATGGTATTGGGGAGCCCTTCGGATTGTCTCGACGGAGGAATGAACTTTCTGTGGGGCCTGTGAGGCCCTCTTCTTACGGCCGCGGTCGGGTCACAGGGCTTGCGTGGCCATCCTGGGGCCTTCGAGAGCCGTCTTGGAGCCCCAGGGGGGCCAGGGTTGGGCCAGACCCCCGCTGATGAGTTCACCTGGGGGTCGCCTTGGGCCCGCCTCCCCCTGTTATTTACCACAACACCGACCTCCAGCTCTGACCGGGCCCCGGCCCGCACGCCGCGCCCTTGCAGGGCCGCCCCCCCTGTCGGGACGCACGCCGGCGCCTCGCCTCGCCTCGCCTCGCCCCCTCCCTCCCTCGTGAGGCCCTTTGCGCCCCCCACAGGAGCTGTGACGTCGCCTCGCCTCGCCTCGCCTCGCCTCGCCTCGCCTCGCCGGCGCCTCGCCTCGCCTCGCCTCGCCTCGCCCCCTCCCTCCCTCGTGAGGCCCCTGACGCCCCCCGCAGGAGCTGTGACGGCGAGCGTGGGCGCGCTCTGGCGTCGTCGGTGGCCATGCGGCACCGTGCTGGCGGCCTGGCACGGCGCACCCCCCGGGGGGCGACGGCGGCCTGCCGGAGGGGGTCCACAAGCGGGGAGCTGGCTGACGGGGAGGTCCTCGTCCTCCCTCCCCTCTTCGGAGGAGAGTTACCAGCCTGGAACACATCCCTGTCCCTATGCTGGGCATCTCCTCGTCACGATGCCAATCTCAGGGATTCCCGTGTTTTTTTGGGGGGGGGCGCATCCCTGAGATTGTCATCGTCTTTTGGCGTGTCAGTCTTAGGGATAGGGATAAGTTCGAGGCTGGTAAGAGAGGGGGGAAGGATGACGGGGAGGGGGGGGGGGGGGGGCACTGCGGGGAGGTGTCCCTGTCCTCGTCCCTCCTCTCGGGCTGGACGAGAGGGGGGGATTGGGCAAGGGGGGGGTAAAGAAATCTGCTGCATGCAGCTGGTTTCGGCCCCACCGAGGGGCCCAGTCCTCGATACATGGGCGCATCCGGGCGCCGGGAGGCGCCGGGAAAGTCAGCTGCGTGAGCTGATTCTCACCCCCGCCCTTTGCTATCCTCCCCTTTCGCCCGGCCCGATCCTCTCTCCACGGAGGAGTGTCAGGAGGGGAAAAAACACACAGACACAATTAATCGTCCACTCCCAGGAAAATATAGGAAAATATGGGAAGCGGGGGGGAAGACAAAAACCCAGAAAATATTGAAAAATATGGGGGATGTTTTTATTTGTGTGTATTTATTTGTGTGTCCTGGGGCCCCTTCAGAGTGGACATGAGAGGAGGGCAGGCGGGAGAGCTCCCCTCGGAGGAGGGAGGGTCCGCCAGGCCCCTCCGAGGGGCCTCAGGCCTGGCCGGGCCGTGCCAGGCCCCCTCTGCCTTAAATTCTTTTTGGGATCCCTCCAGGCCGGAGGGTATCCTCCTCCTCCTCCTCCTCCTCCTCCTCCTCCTCCTCCTCCTCCTCCTCCTCCTCCTCCTCACACTCCCACCTCCCTCCTCACCATCCTCAGCTCCCCTCCCCCCTCCTCCCTCTCCCGCTGGTAGGACACGCTGGGGCGAGCGTGTCGGGCACCGAGTGCAAGCGCGGGCTTCGCAGAAAGGGGCGGGCTGGCCGCCGTCGCCTGCCGCGCCCGCTCGACGCGCGCTCCTGCTGCGGGCTTCGCTCCTGGCCCGCCTCCGAGGGGCAGCCGCCTGCCAGGGATCCCCAGACGGTGCGATGGCCACGCCGTGTGGCGAGGCAGTGGGGATTCGGGGGTGACCGGCCCGTTTTGTGACGTGGGCCGCTCTCCGAGGATGTCTCTCAGGAGGGGAAAAAACACACATACACAATTAATCGGCGATTCCCAGAAAATATAGGAAAATATGGGAAATGGTGGGGAAGACAAAAACCCAGAAAATATCAGAAAATATGGGGTGTGTTTTTATTTGTGTGTTTGTGGGCCTCTTCAGTCTCGGGCACCTGGGGCCTCCCAGGGTCCCAAGAAGGTGCGTCGACTGGCCGTGCGGCGAGGGCGTTGGGGATCCCGATGTCACTGCACGGTCTGTCGCCGCACCGCTCGGGGGCCCCAACAAGTTGCACGAGCAAGCATTCGGAGGTCTGTGCGAAGTTTTGGGGTCTGCGCTGGACCCCCCTCCCCCCGGACGCGCGAGACGCGCCGGGGGCGGCGCGGGGGGCGCCGCCGCGGGGGGTCAGCGCCGACCCAGGAAATCCGCGTAAGCCTTCGGAAGCACACGTGTATACAGCTGTTCCCTTTCTGCTGCCCCCCGAGGCTTGAATCTGCACATCAACTTCCACCACCCAGAGAGGCCCGATGTCCCAGGACTGGGACTCACCCCGTGATTCTGACACCCTCCTCCGTGTACCCATTTTGGCTCAAGATGAAAAGAGATCTTGTTGCTAATCAACACATTATCTCATCATGGTAGCGTGAGCTGGCCACTCACTGCTGCGACCCACCAGGGCCTCGCGGCGCGCGCGGCGCCACGGCGAGCTGGCAGGGCGCGTGGCCCGAGGCGAGAGGCTGGAAGAGAGCGGCATCAGCCGCACCGAGCACAGCAGAGGCCGGACCACCGGCAGAGGTTGAGAGGAGACCACCGAAGAGCGGCCGCAGGCGCGGCAAGAGGAGTGACGCAGCTGTTGAGAATCGAAGACGACAGTTGCAGTTCAAGCACGGCCTGAAGGACACGGGCAACAAGTTGCACGACCTCGCGTACATCGAGGACCATCCCTCGGAGAACTCGTCAGGAGCAATCGAGGAGGCGAAGAAGGAGGTCTTAGATCAGATCATAGACCTCGAGCGTACGAGGCAGGGGATCTCAGAACGCAAGGAGGAGCTCGCCAGGAAGCACGCAATTAAACATGGACGAGCAAGTTCGGCAGCAGTTCGACTTACTGAGGCAGGAGTTCGCAGCCCGCATGAGTCAGACCGTCGACGAGATGAGGAGGCTCGAGAACGAGAATCAGCGGCTTCAGCAACAAGTAGCCGGAGGCCTCGCGGCGATTCCGCAGGCGATCGAGCGCATGGGCGAGCAGATCCGAGGAGCTACGCACGCGGGAGGAGCCGCACCAGGTCTCGTCGACACGAAGGGGATCGGCAAGCCCACGACGCTAGGCGACGATCAGGAGAAGTTCGGAGCTTGGAACCGCAAGATGGAGAACTACGTGATAGGCGTGTACGGAGAGAGCTTCCGTCCTGTTCTCCGGTGGGCGGCAGAAGCCGAACGCCCCGTGACGATCGAAGGGGCACAGGAGGCGCACGGAGGAGTACCAGAGCTGGTGACCAAGATCAACCAGCTGTACGCGGCGCTGATCAGCACGACGGCGGACGGCAGCGAGAGCAACGACCTCGTGACGGGCGCGCCAGACGGGAACGGTCTCGAGGCCTGGCGGAAACTTCACCGCAGGTGGGACCCGACGACAGGTCCGAGGAAGAGGCTGATCCTGAGATCGATCATCTCGCCTCCGAAGTGCAACGCGGAAGAGCTGGGGTCCGCCTTAGAGAAATGGATCCAGCAGATAGGCAAGTACGAACGCCGCCAAGGAGAGGACGGACTGGCCGAGCTGCCGGAGGATATCAAGATGGCGGCCCTCGAGATGCTCGTGCCTCAGGACATCGAGAACCACCTCGTACTCAACAAGCATCGGCTCGTAACGTTCCAGGACAGTCTGAACGAGGTGATGACGATCGTGGAGGCTCGGACAGGCGTGAAGATCAAGGAGCCATCGATCCGCGCACGGGCGCACCATCCGGACGACATGGACGTCGGATCGTTCGGAGCCCCGAAAGGAAAAGGCAAAGGCAAGGGCAAGGACGGCAAGAGCAAAGGGAAAGGCAAGGCCCAGGAGACGAAGGGGAAGAGCAAATCGACGAGCGGATCATACTCAGGCTCCCGCACATCCCCGACGGGTTCGGGCCGTGGTTCCGGGCACACGGCACCCCGAAGCACCGGCGTGCGCTTCGACGGCTACTGTCGGAACTGCGAGAGATGGGGCCACAAGGCATCCGAATGCTGGAGGAAAGAGCAGGGATCGAGTACGAGGGCTGGAACTGGATCCGCAACGGGGGCAAGCGCTGGTGGTAAAGGTGGTGGCCGCGGCGGCAAGGCCGGCGGCAAGGCTGCAGGCAGCCTGGAGGAGGAGCCTGAAGCGGAGGTCGCCGCCCTGGATATGGGCAGCTTGGATTGCCTGGAGCTCGCCGGCGGCAGCGGCCGCGGCGTAGCAGCGGTCGACCTCTCTCCCTTCGCGCAGGACGACTGGACGAAGTTCAACTGGGACAGCGGTGCAGCGGTCTCAGCATTCCCTCGGAGCTTCGCGCCGCCGACGGGATTGAAGGGCAACGGCAGCACGTATCGTACGGCCAGTGGTGAGCTTGTCCCGGACGAGGGCAGCTTGCAGCTCAAGGCGGAGGATGAGTACGGAGTGCTACGAGCGCTCAAGGGACGCGTGACGAACGTGCACAAGCCGTTGATCTCGGTGGGGCAGGCAGCAGGAGCTGGACAGTGTTCATTCCTAGGCCGCAATGGCGGCTGGATATTCCACGAGAAGAGCCCAATCGGCAAGCGTGTAGTAGGCATGCTGGAGAAGGAGGCGAAGACGGCGAAGCACCAGATGCTGCCGGTCTATCGTGAGCAGGGCGTTTACAACTTCTACCTCAAGAAGGGCCAACATGGCTCGGTTGCTCCTCTCGAGGAGGGATTTTCGGCGAAGTCGAAGTCCGAGCTGGTGGAGCTACTCAGCGGCAAGTCGAAGGAGGAGCTGCTGGAGATCCTCGAGAGGACAGTCCCCAGGAGGCAGCCCTCGGCGTAAGTCCACTGGAAGACTCAATACAGCAGTCCCCTGCGGCATCGGCTGCAGGGGCAGCAGCGGCGGGGTCGGGACCTTCCGACATGAGACCGCCGGGTTTTCAGCCAGCAGCAGCTGCGGCGGCTGACGCTTTGCCAGCTGCTCCTGATGGACAGCAGGCCGACGAGGGCGAGGAGGAGGCTCGCCCGAGGGTGCTGAAGGCACCTCATGAGCCCTCTCAGAAGGAGATCGCCGAGCACGAGGCGATGGGACACGCGACTTACCGCAGCTGGTGTCGCGTGTGCATTGCGGCAAAGGGCCAAGGCCAGCCGCATCTCCGCGCACCGGAGGACGACGAGACGGCGGTGCCGGTGGTCTCGTCCGATTACGCCTTCATGGGCCAGGACGACGCGGACACCGTGCCGATGCTGGTCCTTCGGGATCGACGTTCGAAGATGATGGCAGCGACATTCGTGGAGAAGAAGGGCGACGACGCCTACGCCATCAAGTTCTTCGCACGCTTCTTACGGATCCTGGGCTACAGGAAGATCGTCAACAAGTCCGACGGCGAGCCAGCGATCCTGCTGGTCAAGAGGCGTGCGGTGGAGGAGGTTCCTGGCCTCGAGGCCATTCCCCAGGAGTCGGCACCGGCCGACCATCAGGCCAATGGGGAGATCGAGGTCACGGTGCGCGAGA